TGTTGTACTTTTAGGTTATTTCTTAACAGTCATAGTAATAAACTGTTGACCATTATAAATTAGGTGCATTCCCTAAGAGCTCCCATTAAGAAAAAAATAATGCAATTTTGGAGCCAAATAATTAAAATTGGCTTATAATTCTAAGTATGATCTAGCATGGGCCTGACTACTATTCTCCATCTGTCCTCAAATTAGATTTTTAGGCATTTTCACAACAATTGACATTCCAACAGCAGAAATTTGCTGCTTTTTATCAACAAACAAACCTTACTATGTCACAGCATTTTCTGAGAAACGCAATTTTTGCTTTAAAATGCATCAAACACATAAAACAAATTCTTGTTAGCTACTCTGAATTTCTCGTGAAAATTATACAATAGTTCCAGTCAGTTTATAAAAATCTACTTCTAACAACCACTTCTAAGATAACAATATGTAATATATCAATTAGAGATGATTTCTTAATGTTATTCTTTTTTAAATTCTCTATCATTTCTACCTTTTTTGGTTTTGCTTTTAAATAAAAATCTACTTCTATGATCACAGTAATGTAACTGATTCTTTCAATATCAACAACAAAAAATTAAGAAAAAACATGTCTTAGTATATTACTCTCAAAAAAGGAGCAACTGAATGCTTCAGCAAGGCCAGGTTAAAGCAAAAGGGTTCACTATACTTCATTTCCTTTGTCACAGCAATCTAATTCCCTTAAAAAGGAAAACAAAATCACTTGTTCCAGCTATACGACAATGAAAACCATGCAATAACAAAAGCTAAAAAGTCAAATATGGGCTGATGATACAGCTCAGTGACAGTATTTGCCTAGCACTGAGGCTCCCAGTTTAATATCCAGCTCTGCAAAAAAAAGGTAAACAAAAGTCAAACAAGCTCCTATTAGCTTAATATTCACAGTACTAAGGTAGTCATATCAAACACACTGGCAAATGAAGTTGATAAAGATACCTGTTTCTCTTAACTCAATTGTGTTCATACCCTTGCAAGTATTTCTTCTATAAAACATGTTAACTGGATAAAGTTAAAAAAGCAATCATTTTCCATGTATAGAGCAGTATAAAGTTCAAAAGCAAAGAATGAGTGCTACATAATCTATAACATGATATAAACGACCTTTCCCATTATTAATATAGCTGGTGACATCTCCAGAGGAAGAAGCAAGGATAACAGAAAGAAATGGAGAAAAATAGCCTATCACTATAACTAATGCAAAAGCTTAGGTACAAAAGCATAATCTTAGCTCCTAAAGTACAGATTACCTCACCTTAAGTAAAATCTATTTGTTACACATACTGATTACTGTCAACAATGATGCCATCTTCTGATAAAAAATTAAATTTTTAAACAACTGCACAGCCAAAAATCTTCTGAAGTCATGTACTTTTTAAACAAAACCTTTGGTAGACAAATAAGGTGGCTCAAAAAAAAAGAAAGAAAGAAACAAAACTGTAAAAGCAAATAAGGTATACCACACTCAATAATGAATGCATAATTGCAGAACTTGGGAGGCTGAAGCATAAGGATTCCATGAGGTCAATCTAAACTTGGGCTACATAATGATTTTAAGAACAGCCTGAACTACATAGCAAAACCCTGTCTAAAACAAAAGGCATGAGCAAGAATGTATGCATACAAAATAAACATTAACATGTTAAATCATTAATAAAGTTTTAATTTGAAATAGTTTTGCTCACATGTTTAATGGCGACAAAATTTATTGCCAAAAACAGATAATCAGAACATGTTTTCAAATCATTTATACAATCTGATCTAAGCCCTGCACTAATTTTTCTGAAATCCACAATAAAAAGATTTATACATATTGTCCTTCCTCACATTTTCTATTTTCATGTCATCTTTAACCTCCCCTCTACCAAAAAGAAAGAGAGACAGAGGGAGAAAATTTTAAATCTATTGTACTTCATTCTCTATTTGGGATTTTTATGTCAAACTGATATTCTTTACATTCTCTCACTGTAAAACTTTGTAAAAACACAATCTGCACTCAACTACTGTTGTTTACATTTCATTTTCACGACAAAGAAAGGCCTTTAAAAAAGCACTATGGCAGTAACTCTCTGTAGCTTTCAGATGGTTCCAGAGCTCAGTTAAAAACTTGCTGAAGAAAAGAGGGTACTTAAAATGCAAGTTTTATCCATAATCCAGTAACCAACTCTAACGTCAATGAAAGGTAACATTTTCAACTTAAGTGACATTCTTTAATAACTGGCCGAACCTAAAATGTACTCCTGACTTCAAAAACAAGCATGTTGAAGATACCTGGGAGAAACGACAGGTCCTTCGGACAAAAATTTAACAGAAAGCCTGGGTATGAAAAATATGAACTGAAGTTAACTTTAACGTCATGAAATTAAAATGTACTTACTAAAGCATTCAAATTGTAATCAAAGGAAAACCAAGCGAGCTTAATTCCTAAATCTGTAAAGTAGCGGAAAAATTCTCAAACTGATAGAATTCTTCAAAAGATTATTTGTAGTTTCTTAAAATGAAATTCTTAAAAGTTTCGCTCAAAATCCCTAATTATGACGAACATGACTAAATATTTTCATTAAACTAATCACTAACCTAAAACTCGGTTTCGTCTGTATTTAGAAGTAATTTTTACACCAAGTGTAACAGACAAAGGAAAACGTAATTTCTATTCACAAACAGAAACCAGCATTAATTTGTTTTGGACAATGACAGGCCAAAAAGGTTTGGTAAAGCACAAATTTCACAATTAAATCATCCAGAAAAAAAAAAAAAAAGAAAGAGAGACAGACAGAGAGATGCACAAAACAAAACAGTATTTTTCTTAAGTCAAATTACATTTATTAAAAGGCTAACAATTACAGGAAGCAGCTTACTCCCCACCAACAGCCCCTTTTCCTGCATGTTTGTACTGGTATGATTAAAAAAAAAAAAAAAATCAAGCTTCCTAGTCATTCCATTTTAAACAAACTAGCTACCAAACTCAAGCAACTTTTACACTAGGGAGGCTAAAAAGGCTGAAACACAGACTAAAATGAGAGAGTGAGCAAACTGCTTTAAAAAGATCATTATTTAGAACATATCCTAGTAAAAACTAGTGATCTTCTACATCTGCAACTCAAAGAATCTTTTTCCAAAAAGACACAAATAAACCTTTGCTAGAAATAACGACATATGTAATTGGAATTTCTATATTGGAACAATTAGAAATTACTAAAGCCGAAGGCTAGACACTTAACGGGAATAAACTCCAAATTTAGATTTCAAGTTAAGTTTTATAAAAGCACAAGAAGCTATTTAAAAGCTAGTAAGAGAACTCAAAAATTTTTAAATTTTTATCCAATCTATACTATTTGTTAGAATTTAACATTTTGAAAACTTAATTTTGGTTAATTTTACGTATTTCCACGGTCTGTTTTCATTTCAAAGAACATAAAAGACTTCTAAACTGTACTTGGAAAAAATCTCTCATTAAAGTATCATTACTAAAAGTCAACTAAGATATTGCAAGAAGAAAACAATAGTTTATAAAGTGTTTGCAACACTTAGACACATAGTGACAGATGAAGTGATCTATAACTTGTTTTAGCTAAAATAGGTCAGATCGTTGAAAATGTTACACATTTTGTCTCAAACATTTCCATGGTTAAGAATAATAACTGGCGCCCCCTAGCGGTCACATTTGGAAATACTCAATTTAAGAGTTCCAGCTTTTTTTTTTTTTGACATTCCAGAAAGTTTTCTGCCTCCACAATCTTTCAAATGCCAACACAAATAGGAAAAGCAGAACCCCTTAAAGAGACAGCTCAAGTTTTTCTCTGCAGCAATTTGAGATTAACGGATATGCTAATCCGACAGTGTAAAATGCCTGCTTCGATTTAGATTACTGCTGCATGCTGAATATACGTAAGCAAAACAACATAGAAGCAGTAATACCTGTTTCCTACTTTAAAACTACCCTTTTGACTTTTAAGACGACAAAAACTACTGGGATTCTTTAACCATCTTTATCACGGAGATATTTCCGGTCTTTTGTTCTTTCCTAACATTACAACTCCCTAAGCTTCACTCCTTTTCCCCAGCTTCATTTGAAAACCCTCAGAATTCTGGAAAAAAAAAAACCTAAAATCTATTGTTTATCTTTATAGCAGTTTTCGGTTTCCCTTTAACAGGCCTCCGGAGGGGGAGGAGGGGAGAGACTCCCTTCAGCTCGATTTCCAAAATAGATTCTTTTGTTGGTCCCGTCTTTCCCACCCTGGGCATCCACAGAAACCTACAGCTACCAGAAATTAGTACTCCAGGTCGCTGTTGCAAGAACTTCTTAAAAGAAATTCCAGAGTGGACCAACATTAATCTTCTTGTCATTCTTCGCTCCCCACAGCGCTCCACCAGCTAAGCTTTCACAAACTTTTGTTGGATTTTATTTTCGCCTTCTTGAACTCCTAGATCCCCACCCCGCGAGCCCAGGCGGCAGCGCCCAGGACGAATCCTCCACCCAGGATCCCTACAAACAGGGATCGCGCTCGGGTCTGTCATCGCGGTATTTCCTGCAAACACTCTCCCACTCCCCAAAAGTGAAGTTAAACTCCTCAACACTTCTCGCTTCCCCAAACAAAGGACCTAAAAGTGCTTTCTGCTGTCATTCAGAGCTTGCCTCCAGCACAGTTTCTCAGGCCGGACGAGCCCCGCGCCGCCTTCAGCCTTAGTGTGAGCAGCCGCCCCGCCTCGAGCGTCGTCGGGCTCTAGTGGCGAAAACACGCGCCCCAGGCCCGCGCAGGGTTGCTCCGGGGACCCCGGTGGCGCCGGCCCCGCCCCGCGTCGGCTCGAGGTCCCGGGTGCCCGATCAGCGGGCCGACTGTGCCCGCTGCCAGTCCGCCCGCGACCTCCTTGCGCCCGCCCGGCCTCCCGTCCTCGTCCCCGGGGCGCGCGTCCCGCCGACCGTGACCTTCCTGCCGCCCCGCCATCCCGAGCGTGCCGGGCCCGGGTCTACTCACCTTCGTCCAGCAGCCGCTCGAGGTGGTTGAAGATCCCGCAGAAGTTAGGCAGGCTGCTCATGAGCTTCTTGTCGTTCATCAGCTGCATCAGGTAATCCGGAGTGGGCTTCGGCTTCTCCTTCGTTTCCATTTCCCCGACCATATTCCAGGCTCCGCCGCTCACTCCGCCCGCCGCCGCCGCCGCCGCCGCCGCCGCGGGAGAGGAGGGAGGGGCGCGGGCGAGCCCCGGACGCCGGCCGCTCCGGACGCCGCGTCCCGCTGTGCGCCGGATCCTGCTCCGGCTCCCGCGCCGAGCCCCGGGGCGGCCGGCCCCGCGCGCCCGCCCGCCCCGCGCAGGCACTTTCCGCGGCCCCGCGCTCCGCGCCGCTCCCGGCGCCCGGCCGGGTCCTTCGGAGGCAGGCGGCGCGGGCGGGTCTCGGCCGTGCGGGTGCGGTAAGGGTGCGGGCCGCCGCGCCGCGCGAGAGCCGGGCCGCCGCTGGGGACTGTCGCGCCGCCGCCGCCTGCGCAGCGCTCGGGTCTCTCTGTCGTGCCCGCCGCGGCGCTCTGCCGCTCCGCCGCGCGCCGACTGCGCTCCTCCTCTTCCTCCTCCTCCTCTCCTCCTCCTCACTCACTTGGCGGCGGAGTTCGCCTCAGTTCAGGCGGTGCAGCCAGCGGCGGGGGGGAGGGAAGGCGGGAGGCCGGGGGCGGGCGGCGGGCGGGGCCGCGCAGGGCAGCCGTTAAGGGCCCGGCCGGCTGGCGCGCTCCCGCTCCGCGCCCCTCCCGCGCCCCCAGCACGGCCGCAGGCGCCGTGCTCCCCCTGCGTGCTCCCGCCGGCCGACCCGCCGGGGCGGTACGGGGTCGGGACACCCTCTGCGCTCTTGTCGCCCCGGGCCGCGGGCGCGGTCGGCCGGCGCGTTCAGCGAGAGAAATTCCGAGAGAAATTCCGTCGGGACGCACCGCGACGCGCCGGTATTGCGCTTGCCACCGCCCGGGCGTCGCGTCCCCGCCCGTTACTATAGTTTTATTTTTTTTTCCAAAAAAAATAATCCCCAGTCTACCCTCTGCGATACCCCCAACGAGAGATGATTTTTTTTTTTTTTTTTAACGTCCTGTTGCTTCACGGGGGACTCTCGGGGTGGGAGTCACGTGGCCCGACACGTAGCCTTGGGTCCCGAGAGCGCGTGCGCGCGTCGAGGCCGGTGGCTACGCCCCTTCCGAGGGTCGCCCCGCCCCCGGGGGGCCGCGAGCGTGCGGTGGGGGAGGGGAGGGCCCGGAGCGCGCCTGCGTGGGGCGAGGCCGGGGTGGGGGTGGTGGCCCCGCTCGCCTCGACCGTCGGACCCGCTGTGGCGCCGAAGAGGGCGAGTCCGAGAGGGGCGCGGGGGGACTGAACAGCCTGTCCAGGCGCCGCAGTGTTCTCGAGACCTCGGCGGGCACGCGGGCCCCGCCTTTCACCGGTGAATCCAAGCATATGAGTCCTCCAGTCGTCAGCTCGGCAAGCCGCGGCGCCGCGCGTCGCAGGGGCTGGAAAGCGGCTGGAGGGCCAGCAGGGCGCAGCGGGCGGCGAGCGCGGTTCACGGCGGGACGGCACCCGGGAGGGGCTAGCTGCAGCGGTGGCCCGTTATTCCGCGAGCAAATCACAAAAGTGAGCCCAGCCGCGCACAGAGTAACAAGAGCAGCTTGCACGGCGCTGCCTTCCTGATTGCCTCGGTGTCGCCTTGACAGGCTCAAGTCCCAAGAGCAAATAAAGAAGCTGTAACAATTGGAAAAGCCAAATTCATTGTTTAATTTTATGAACTTGAAAAAAATCGTACAGTGAGCCAGAGGTTTTTCCATACTATGTGATGGGTTTCAAATACTTTGGGAAACAATTTTCTGAAGTGTATCCTTGAACTCTTCTTTGATAGATGGAGGCTGTCAGTCCCTAAATCTGCATATTGGTCTTATTTTGGGTTCTTTAAAACGTGTTCAAGTAATGCCCACAATCATTTAATACCAACCATTTTGAGAATTAGCCATGGCTGAAATGTTCTGTTCATCGTCTTTTAACTGTTTCAACTAACGTGGATTTTATTGCTAAACTTGGCTTTACACAAATTCTTAAGATACTAAAGGAATTTGAAAGGAATCAAGTGCCAGTAGCTCTGGGTTTTTTATTTAATGGTCGCTGAGATTTTTTTTTAAGTTATTTTGTTGGAGGAAATGGAAATGTCTTAGTAGACAAAATTCAAAACATGTAACTCTTCAAATATATTACATTTCTCAATGGCCATAGCTCCTCATAGAGCCATAGATGTTTTCATTATGCTTAAAGGAGGAAATGTGTAAAAACAGGGAATAGTAATTTGATCAAAAAGTGGATATCTCCTTAAGTACTTTAAGCTGTGTTTTTTCAATATGTCAGGTAAAGTAGCTTTAAAATATTTTGATGCTGAATTAATTCATTTTCTTTGCTTATGTAAAAGATGCAACTCCTGTTCTTTAGTTGGTTCGCTCATTTCTTAAGCTTCCAGGCCTTGTACTGTATATCTATGTGTTTGAGTCTATCATTAGTACAGCTTGTGGCTTTTTTTCCATGAGAAACCCAAAGAGTAAAAGGGTAACTTGCCCAAGACTAGCTAATGAGTCTTGACTCTAATTCAAATTCAATTGTATTTTATTCTAAAGCTCATATTCTTTGCCTTTTGACCAACTCTATCCTGTAAATCCATTGAACCTTATGGAGTTATACCATTTTGTACTCGAAGTAACTGCATTTTTATAAAATCCAACTGCTTTTTATAATCAAATTGACTTAAAGAGCAATGAGAAGCATTTCCCATATATTGTGTTAGTCCCTTAGGGTTACAGCATTTTACTATAGTAATAACTATTAGGTGTTACCTTCTCAAGTTTATGTAGATTGTTTCTCCGCTTACAGTTTTTAGTGGTTTCTCCTTTCAGGAAAAAATAATCTAAAGAGTTTATCAAAGCCTGTGAGACTCCACGGGGATTTGGGTCTCTGCCCGCTGTTGACCTTCCCCAGCTCCCTGACTCTTGCCCTCTGTCATGCTGTCCTGCTCCACCACTCACCTGGTGTTTCCTCTGAAAGCTTGCCTCCACATATGTGTAGGGCCTGCACCCACACTCTCTCAAGCTTCCCTCAACTCCAGTAGTGCATGCCTGCACACACAAATCTCTTCCATTATTTAATTACTACCTTTTTAATTCCTTTCATAGCACTTATTTCCATTTACTACCTCTTATCAGGGGTCAATTTGCTACCACACTGAGTTCCATTCAGATCAAGGGCTATACTTTCTTGTGGGAATTCCCAGCACACAGATTAAGAGCACATGATTAAGTATAAAACTAGTTACCCATATGTTCAAAAAATAAATACTACATACCTCTTATGTATGAAAAAAGGCCACAAAACTTACCTGTCTTACAACTTTTAATCAGCACAGATATTTAAGGTAGGCAGGGATAGTCACATTTCAGAGATGAAATAGCTGATTGCTTAGGAGCAGTCAGTAGCTGTTGTAAGCAGAATGGGATCACACTGGATACCACTGTCTCCCTTGAAGGTCCTTGTAGAATTTTTTCACTGTTAAAGAGTATGCCATCTATGCTGAACTTAAAAATGGTTCCACGTTTTAAGTAATTAACCAGCAAAGGAAATATGTTTTCTGTTGTCTGAAATTTCATTGGTTCCATTTGCTTATTGATGTTCTTGACATGTAAAATAGAAAATTACAGTATTCCAAAACCTTTTGTCTTCATCATAAATTTCTTGCAGGAACTAAAGTGTTCTTGGACCTAATATTTAGTTTGATAACTTTTTGTCCCAGTGTTCTTTTTAAAATCCTTAACTTTTCCTAAAAGGAAACGGCATTCTCAATATCTAACAATTGTTTCCTTACAGTTGATTTGAGTATCCTTTTTTAAATTGTGAGATGATTTATCACTATTCAAAAGATTAAATATGATACGAGTATGACTGTCTTAGTCTACTATTTTGAGTACCAGTTATACGTGTATACATTCACTAATCCTAGGTCCCTACAGACTAAGCTTGGAGCTAACAGCATGCATATTTGAAACATTAACATATCACGGCCAAAGAAAGACTAAGGACAAATGCTGTAAGGATATCTGTGAGTGCTACCATTCCCTGCCTGGAAGCCACAAGACTGCCCTGGGAAAGGTGTTTGATCTGGTGGTTGAAGGAAGTACTAAGGGAAGCCAATGACAAAAACTTGGAAAGTTTAAAAGTACCAGGCTATAGGGTAAAGTCTTTCTTGATGCCAAATTCTGGTTGACCTCAAATAAGCCACAGAGTAGATGAAAGCCTTGGGATTTTTTTTTTAATGCAAGGAAATGAATCAAATAGCAACATGGCATATTTACATTTGTTAGTATAAATATAGCATTTGTAAAATGAAAGATTTTTCCCTATTGAGGTACTCTAGTGTTAATCGTGCTGCTTTTTTTAAACCACTAACATAATACTTCCAGATGTAGTACTAGCATTTAGCCTAAACCACCGCACAGCAGTTAAATGTTAACTGAGGGTGTAAAGTTTCTACTCATTAACCCTAAATGAAACTTTAGAGGTAAAAACTCGCTCAGCCAGGGTGTAGGCCCTTGTGCTATGTAATCAGACCTTCATTCCAGTCTCCATTAAACAGTCTCCAACCAAAAAGTAACTGTAGGATTATGAGAGTGAATTAAAAATGCATTTTGTTTTGATCAACTTTCAGACTTGAGGTTTTATGATTGCAAAACAGTTTCAGTAGTGTTCCCCTGGATTAAGTTAATTTGTGGTTTACTTCTTTCAGGATCTAGATCCTTCAGGGTGAGTCTGTATATATTTTAACATATTAAGCAGATATCATTTTGATTCATAGCCTGTGAGTTAGTTTTAAATAACTGATGTGGGAAACATTTTATGAACAAAGGAAATAACTATTCATGTGCCAGACATTTAGTCAAATGTCACTATCCTTTACTAAAATTTAATTTAGAGACTGAGTAAATTTTTCCAGTGATTTCCCTATGAATGTGCTTTCTAAACTTGAATTTCTGGTGGGACCATGGAGAGACTGAGAAGGGAGGACACAAAGTTGCAGAGTCCCATGAAAAGCCAGACACTTTGGTTATTGACTGCCGGATAGCACTGATTTAATAATTATCCTCATTTTACTGCTTTAAAAGCTAAGGCACAAAGAGTTAACTTAATATGACTGTCATCCAACAGCCATTTAAAATGCTAGTGACAAGATTCTGCACCTTAAGTCTTTAGTGACTCCAAGTA